GGAGGAGGAGGAGGAGGAGGAGGACAATGATGATGATGATGATGATGATGATGATGATGCTGATGCTGATGATGATGATGATGATGATGATGATGATGATGATGATGATGATGATGATGATGGTGGTTGTGGTGGTGGTGATGATTTGATTCTGCTACTGATGATGACGATGATGATGATGATGCTGATGCTGATGCTGATGCTGATGCTGATGCTGATGATGATGACGACGACGAGGCCTGCCCTCCAGGAGGATGCGGGATAGGAGGAGGAAAGGAGGAAATAGAGCGAGAGAGAGAGAGAGAGAGATGCGGTGAAGGATTGCTTTGGCATGGTGACGATGATGCTGATGATGACGATGATGATGACGATGAGGATGAGGATGAGGATGCGGATGATAGTGGGATGAGGATGAGGACGAGGATGAGGATGATGATGGTGATGGTGATGGTGGTGGTGGTGATGATGATGATGAGGATGATGAGGATGATGAGGCTGATGAGGATGATGATGCTGATGCTGACGATGCTGATGCTGATGCTGCTGATGATGATGATGATGATGATGCGGCTGCTGCTGCTTATGATAAGGATGAGGATGCAACACCAACAACGACAACATCAGCAACAACATCAGCGACAACGAAGACGTCGACGACGCAGACGGCAACAACAACAGACGCCACACCAGCAACATCAACGCACCAGCAACAACTACAGCAGTAACAACAGCAACACCAGCATCATCAGTATCATCAACATCATCATCGGCATCATCACCAGCAGCAGTTCTCAGCGACAACTTCCTCACCGTTAGCATCATCATCATCATCAGTGACATCATCAGCATCATCACCGTCGACCTTATCACCAGCACCATCAGCATCATAAGCATAATGGGCAGCTTCGTCATCCGTAGCATCATCATCATCATCACCACCACCACCTCATTTGTCATCACAATCATCATCAGCATCATCATTACCAGCATCATATGATTCTCATCATCATCCTCATCCCTAGCATCATCATCACCATTATCATCAGCAGCAGCCGCATCCTCATCCTCATCAGAAACAGCAGCCGCATCATCATCATCGTCGTCGTCGTCGTCATCAGCATCAGCATCAGCACCACGATCATCATCAGCATCACCACCATCATCACCATCATCATCTTCATCACCATCACCTCCTTTATCATCATACTCCTCATCAGCAGCAGCAGCCGCATCATCATCATGATCCTCCTCATGATCCTCTTCATCATCATCATCCTCATCATCAGCAGCGTCCTCATCCTCATCAGCAGCAGCAGCCGCAGCACCATCATCATCATCATCATCATCATTATCATCATCATCATCATCATCATCATCACTATCGTCGTCGTCATCATAATCATCATCATCAGCATCATCATCACCATCATCACAAAGCAATCCTCAACCCCATCCCCCTCTCTCTCTAGCATCTCCTTTCCTCCTCCTATCCCGCCCCCTCGTAAGGGCAGGCCTCGTCGTCGTCGTTGTTGTCATCGTCATCAGCAGCATCAGCATCATCATCACCATCATCACCAACATCATCATCATCATCATCACCATCACCACCCTTCCTTTATCGTCATAATGATTATCATCAGCAGTATCATCATCAGGATCCTCCTCCTCATCTTCAGTGATGATGACGATGATGAGGATGCTGTTGACGGCGATGATGCAACTGCTGATGATGCTGATGATGATGATGACGACGACGATGAGGCTGACGATAACGGAGGAGGAGGAGGAGGAGGTGGAGAAGGAGGAGGAGGGTGAGGACCCGAAGGATGAAGATGGTGCGTTCGAGGAATCGGAGGATGAGGCGGAGTGATGCTGCTGATGCTGCTGATGATGATGCTAATTCTGACGATGAGTTATCATGATGATGATGCTGCTGCTGCTGATGAATGATGACGATGATCATGATGGTACTGATGATGCTGATGCCGATGCTGTTGCTGCTGATGATGATAACGATGATGCCGATGATGAGGATGACGGTGGTGGTCGTGGTGGTGGTGGTGCTGGTGATGGTGATGTTGATGGTGATGATTATTGTGATTGTTATGGTGATGATGATGATGATGCTGCTGCTGTTGCTGATGCTGATGCTGCTGCTGATGATGATGCTGATGATGATGGTAATGATGATGGTGATGATGATGATGATGATGATGATGCTGATGATGATGATGATAATAATGATGCTGATGCTGAAGATGATGCTGCTGCTGCTGCTGATGATGAAGATGATATCGCTGATGCTCATGCTGCTGATGATGATGGTGGTGCTTGTGATGATGATGAGTCTGATGATGATTATAATGTTGATGCTGGTTATGCTACCGATGATGGTGAATATTATGATGACGCTGCTGATGATGATGCTGCTGCTGCTGCTGATGATGCGGGTGATCATGATCATGATTATGCTGATGACGATGATGATGATGACGACGAT